AAGTCAGCATAATACTGTCCTCCTAGGGTACTCCTAGGGCACCCTTGCACTCTTGTAAACAAAAGTTTTTTTTCCTTCAATAGTGTAGTGTACTATATGCACTAAATCATCTCCACTAAAAAGCACTAAATGATCTTATGATTTTCTCAGTGATGTTTACAGAGTGTGTTCCATAGTGATCCTAGGGAATCTTCATAAGTACTCTAGATAATGGCTGGGAATTATCATCTCTGGCACATTGCATCCCACTCCTGCACACTGGTTACCAGTAGTTAGCAATATCATACTGCCCCATGTTAGAAGACAACAAGCTCTCTTTTGGCTATGGCGAAGGATGCTGAACACCAAGGGCCTCCCTATTCACCAAGACAATGCACAGCCCATCACAAGATTGAAATTCTGTAGGCCAGCATGGAAAACACTTAACATCTCCCCAGTTTAACACCAAGAATGCCTGGAGAGAGGAATAGCAATAGCAATTGCACTTAGACTTATATACCTCTTCATAGTGCTTTACAGCATTCTCTAAGTGGTTTACAGTATCAGCATATTGCACCCAACAATCTGGGTCCTCATTTACCAACTCAGAAGGATGGAAGGCTCAGTCAACCTTGAGCCAATCAGGATCGAACTCCTGGCAGTAGGCAGAGTCAGCCTGCAATATTACATTGTAAGCACTGTGCCATCACAGCTCAAGGTTAGTCCAAGGTACCTTCTTGTGGCCTGACTATTAGTGATCCCTCTACCAAACCATCTGGTTTTGATCTGCCTAGTCTGTCTGGTTGAAATTGAACAGAATTATGTGTGATACTGGAAAAAGTGCTTCTGCCCTGTATCAGTGGGAATGGAAAGATCCCCCTTGTTGTGATTATAGTGCTGATATGCAAACTATTAAACATATTGTGCAAGCTTGCTCACAACATGCATTGTCTGATTCCCTAGAACAGAGGTCCTCAATCTTTTTGGTTTGGTGGCCTGAAAGGGAGGCAGGCACTGTTATGTGCACATGCGCATGCACAAATGGGCCATGCATGAGTGCATGCGGACATGCAAATGGGGCCATGTGATTGCAAGTGCCACAAATGGGATGACACTAGTGCTGGTGGGATGTTTGGGGCGGTACTAGTGCTGGTGGGACGCTTGACACAGCACGGTGCTAGCGCTGGCAGGACCTTGGGGCAGGCGATGCTAGCGCCAGCGGGATGCTCGGGGTGGCACTAGTTCCAGTGGGACATTCGGGGCTGGCTGGTGCTTGTGCCAGATGGATGCTTGGGGCGGTGCTACTGCTGAGGGATGCTCGCAGTGGTGCTAGTGCAAGTGTGGGAGGTGAGTGCATGCATACATGTGTGTGCACTGGCGATCTCTTCACACAAATTGGTGGCCAAGAGGCACACAGGTTGGGGACCCCTGCCCTAGAAGATCTACACAAAGCAACACCAGAGGAAATCATAAAGATAGGTGAATTGGACATGCAGTTATGAGGCCACAGCCATACCGCTGTAAAAGTTTTGTATATAATTACATTGATTGTGTGTATATGTTATTTCTCTTCTGTCATGTTCTCATCATACACTAAATAATACACTACATAATGGGTGGTTTTCCTAAAAAACATCCAGATTAAGAATAATTCAAATGTCCATTCCCCAGTATAATAAAAACAGGCCAGAACATTATTTAGAAAGTACTAATTTTCTTCCAATATGTATGTCTGTGTATGGGCATCTATGTAAGACTGAATGCATGTGCAATTATTTTAGAATCTTTGGTGAAATAATTTGCATTGATTAATTGGATGATTGAAATTATATCCATATCTCACAACAGTGACTTTGGATAACATGCAAAGCAAATGCAAATAGAAACCCAACAATTAAAAATAATGCATAGCAATTTGGGCAAATAACACATTCCAATAATAAAAATACATAACCAACAGGGTTAGCCTAAGCTCCTGGACAAAATACCTGGTAAATCATCCAAGTTTTCAAAGTTCTATGAAAGGGTTTGAAGGTCAGGGCTTTTCCAGGAGGCCTATCTATTTACTGAAACTTATAAAGGGAACATTGGAGTGTTATCGCTTTCCCTGAAATAAAATGGCTTCTTACTATATGCCCATTGGCATTATTTTACTTATAGTACAAGGATTCCCTCATAATCATTTATCTGATCCAATTATATTTAATTTATTCTAATTTACCTTCCTATTGATACAAAAAGTAAGGTTTTTACACCTTTAGTTTTTTCACACTAATAAGTGCAATAATAATAATAATAATAATAATAATAATAATAATAATAATAATAATAATAATAATAATAATAATAATAATAATAATAAAGTTGGAGGTCATCTGGTCCAACCCCCTGCGCAGGCAGGAAACCCTATACCATTTCAGACAAATGGCCGTCCAGTCTTTTCTTAAAAACTTCCAGTGTTGGAGCATTCACCACTTCTGGAGGCAGGTTGTTCCACTGGTTAATTGTTCTAACTGTTCTCTCCTTGATTAGTTTCCATCCGTTGCTTCTTGTCCTGCCTTCAGGCGCCTTGGAAAATAGCTTCACTCCCTCTTCTTTGTGGCAGCCCCTGAGATATTGGAACACTGCTATCATGTCCCCCCTCGTCCTTCTCTTCATTAAACTAGACATACCCAGTTCCAGCAGCTGTTCCTTATATGCTTTAGCCTCCAGTCCCCTAATCATCTTTGTTGCTCTTCTCTGTACTCTTTCTAGAGTCTCAACATCTTTTTTACATCGCGGTGATGAAAACTGGATGCAGTATTCCAAGTGTGGCCTTACCAAGGCATTATAAAGTGGTATTAATACTTCATGTGATCTTGATTCTATCCCTCTGTTAATGCAGCCTAGCACTGTGTTGGCCTTTTTGGCAGCTGCAGCACACATTTGATTGTTGAATAATTCACTATTACTAAAATTATGACTGATAATGTTGGGGCTCTATTTTATAACATCTTACAGAGGTCTACCATTCACTGAAGAAAAGGAAGAGGCTTTATCCCACTAATAACTGCTTCTGGTGGATTTATTAGGAAAGCCATTTGATTTTAAAAAGTGTTGGTGAATGTAAATAAGGTCTTTCCTAGCAGCCCTAATATAAATCAAAGCCATGGTTATTAACAAGCACTGTAAAGTCATATTTTTGTAAAATTAAAAAAGAAAAAGAAACCAATCTCAAGGAACAGGCTGGTATCTACTATAATATATAAAAATAAATGTTACTTCATGATTCTTGTGGAAACAAAAATAATTCATGTGAATGAGCTATGTGAATGAAAGAAAAAATTCAGCATTTAGGGAAATCGCTAATCTTTTAAAACAAAGCATCATGTACCTTTCTTGAAATGATTAAATAACTTACCGGTACTCAATTTTACTGTAAACGCTATACACTACTTTAAGGCTGTATTCGGGTGGACTCCTCTTCTTGATTAACTCATTTTCCACCACAAAGGACATTTATTTCGCCCACGAAGGTCCCTTCAGATGAGGGGGAAGAAATATTTTGGTTTTTTTCCACGATCTATTACCTTGAAGAATGTGAGGGAATCCTTTCTGTGCTCTTTCACTTTGAATACTTTCTATTTAAGCTACGTAGGTTGTGATTCTGTGTGATATGATTAAGCAGCTTTTTTTCTGTGAATATTTTAAAACTGGATTTCCCTGAACATGACCTTTTGAGAGATTTGTAATAAGGGCTACAATTATCTAAGGAGCACAAACTCTGCATTTAGATAATGGTGAGTACTGCAGCAGTTCTTTATTTCTTTTATTTGATGAATTAGCCAAAACCTTTATTTAGATGCAAAGATGGTTTACTTTTATTAATTTTGTAGTGCAATTTCACCCAAAATAATGTAGCTTCAAAAGTACAAGCGGTTATGAAAAAATGTCCTGAAACTGATTGTATTAAGGAAATCTGTTTTCAGAAACTGTGTATGTTATACAGAATTGTAGACAGATATTATACAAATGTACACTAAAATACATACAGATTATATTGTGATCTTTAAAAAATCAATTCAATAAATCTAATAAGTCGAACAAATCAAATACGACTTACTAACAAACTTGGGTAATTGAGAAAAGTTAACTATTAGGTTTTTGCTTATTTCTTAAGCTAAGGAGTCCAAAATATAGCATTCCAAGCATATGGCTCTCCAGTATCTGCCTTATCCAATGACATTGCAATCCTAGAGAAGAAAATATCTTTGTCTGAATGAAAAGTTGGGGTATAAATGACACCAAGTACAACACAAAATGAAATGCATTCAACCTTTTGGGAACTAATCAATTTAATTATACAGAATTTCAAATTTTAATTTCATTTTGTTTAGCATCGTAAGCATTGTAAACTATGTGTGGTAGTGGATACATTTCTAAATTTAAGGCTATAACATAAATCTACATTTGAAGATGCAGTCAGTGTGCTGCAATCAAAAAGAGCTTGCTTAGAGTGAGGAAGATAACCAAGATAACTGCTTTTTGTTTATAATTGTCAGAAGCATAAGTTAGCTCAATCCACTTTGTGGATTTTACAGTTGTGAATATTAAGTATTAGCTTAAATTTGGTCTTTTTTAATGGAACTTGTTTGCTTTTTCTACACAGTTATCATTACAAATATATATTTAGATATACTACTATTAATAGTAGTATTTTAATGTAACATTATAGGACTGATCAGACTGAAATTTATGAAATAGTGCTAAAGCAAAATTATAAGCATAAATCTTATAATTATCTAAAGTCTGCTGCACAGCTTGTTAACACTAATTATTATAATTATATAATTCTAAATTATGATGCAAGAGTTTATTCATGTAGGAAAAAGTTTTACTCCCTTTTGTATTTTCAAAATGTTGTGAAGATAAAAATGTCACCTGATTTGCTTTAACTTCCTAAGAGACTTTTCTTGAGGGGAAGTAATGATATGTCCTTTCCATATATGCTTTGAAACATTTGTTTGCTATAGATGATAAATATGAAGCAAGAGACTGTTATTCAGAAATTAGATGAATATGCAAAATTAGTCTCCCAAGATGTGAGTATGGCTCAGAGGCATGAAAATATTTTAGGCCAAAATATAGATTTTCAAACCAATTATTGGCTTCTTAATATTTCTTTCAGGGTTCGTGGCATTTAAAATATTTTGGAAAACTACCAATTATAGAAATCCTACATTTAAGTACAGTTGGGATTCAATAAGGGCCAGTCTTGCTTTATGCCATAGATTCATGATGTAGATAGAGCTACAGAAGATTCACTAAGCAGCTCTAGTTAACTCCATTTCTTAAGGACCTAGATCAGGCTTATTCGCGATCATTACTATAGTTATTTATAAAAGGACTATTACTTTAGTGAATTCCAATGACTTTTTATCAACATGGCTGCTTCCCTTGTGGTGTTTAGAATTTTTTTAAAGACTTGACTGGTTAAAAAGACTTTAAGAGGAAAAAAATGACCTTTGATCCATAGCAGCAGAATTTATTTTTAATTTGAGTTTATTTATTTATTAAACAAATTTATATAGCCACACAATTTACACATAGGTAACTCCGGACGGCTTACAACATTTCAAAAAATTAAATTATGTTGTTCATAACATATGTGATATACATATGTAATTCATAACATTATTTTATGATTTTATGTATTTGTTTGTTTGAATATTTTGCTTTTTCAACCCAAGTTAGACAGGACAAATTGCTTATTGTTCAGGGTGTGATCGGAGCAAAATACATATGCTCGGCAAAATACATAAACATCACTGGCTGGAAAATATTGTGTTATACCTATCTCAGGGATGAATGTATGACAATGGCAGCATGTATATTTATTAAATTATTATATATTTTGTGTAATGTAAATATTATTTCATTAAACATATTTTATTGCAAATTATACTTATTAAAAATACTTGCTAATTACATGGCTCAGTTTTTTTTTTCAGTTTGATTTTTGGGAGAAAATAAACAAAAAAAATCCCCCCGTATTTTTCTAAAGTTGGTGTCAACTTCATGTCTCTTCTTCTCTTCTAGGAAGACAAAAGGCAGGTTAAAACCAGAGGTGAAAGCTTGAAGAAGAAATGTGTTGATATGCATATCAGCCAGTCCTCTGATTCTGAAAGGTATTACATTCTGTTAAATGTTGCCCATTGATTACCTACAATCTGTCTAGCTACAGTAATTGTGAATGAAATGGATGAAATACAAACACTGGAAAGACAAATCATTCATGCTGGTTATCTAATATATAATCCATTCCAATCCAAGCTTTCTTGGAAGTAATTCTCAATGAATTCACTGGAACCTACCTCTGGATCAGGCTCCAGTTAGGTCAGGGATATTGTCTGAGGCTGAGCAGACAAACACTCATAGTCTCCAGGACCTCATATTCTCTTTGTTTTGCATCTCATAGTATTAATCTGCCTTTAGCTAGTGCTGTAAACACAGAACATGCATTGCTGTACAGGCCTAGTACTACACAGCAAAAGTTTTACTTGGAGGCCCAGCAAAATATAGAAAATACTGTGAGTTATCAGGCTATTTGGGTTTATAATGATCTTGCTGGATCAAGTTACTGAAGGTTGAGTACAATCATACAGGGCAGACTGAACACTAAGCTTCAGCCTCAGTTACTGATCTCCATCTGTCATAATGTGTAGGCAGTTTCACAGTCACTCTGATTTGATTCACATAATATCAATAGATAGATGTGGATATAACTATTGTCATGGTTCTGATAGATGAGGCCGAATAAAACAGAACTCTGAGGTTTGAGGTTTCCTCTGAGAACATGTTTATTGGATGCAAAGTATCGGCACAGTCAAAAGTGAAACCAAGACTAAAATCCCCTCCCAAAAGCAACAGTAATACAAAGTTACCTCGCTGGCTATGCAATCAACTACGTTCCTCAATAACACACCTAGATGGCCTTTCTAATACTAAAAATATCCTCCCCAGCTGAGGAAAACAGAAATGACCTTGGTTCCCATGGAATAGGAAAATGTTTAGTCTAATAGAAAGTGTCCCATTCCCCCCCATCTTGTGGCAACCGGAAACAAGGAAAATGGCTTTGGCCAAGTCTTGCAAGGTTGACAACTATATTTTCATCTATACAACCTGTCTTTGAACATAACATGGTAATTGATATCAAAAGGTGCTTAGAGATTGCACTTCTTACACAGGTAGACCTTGCTTTACGACTGCTCTATATTGCAATTGTTCGAAGTTACGCTAGTGTTAAAAAACTGATTTTATTGTGAATGAAGGCAAACATATGTGTTCTAGATCCAGGATAATATTGCAGGATCCATGCTGAGTTGGTTACTGGGACTAGAGGTTTATTCTTCTAAGCTTTTAGACTCATGCTGGAGCCCATCCTCAGGGAACTTCTCTCTCTCCAGAATGTGTGCACTGGACATTATTATGTGTAATATTTATATGGTGCCTGATTGTAGGTGGGTTTTAAATGCTAATTGGGGTGTTGATGGCCAGCTATTAGGTCGTTCCTTGTGCCTCTGTACCCTTAGCTTCTAAGCTAGTGGTAAATCAGCACTCCTGTTGATTGAGAAGGACCTATGTTCCAGGGTTCAATCATTTCTCTGGCTATATTTGTCCCTGCTTGACCAATAATCTTAGTAATTTTGAAATTGAATGTATGTCCTTGTTCATTGCAATGTGAGGCTGCCAATAAGTTTGGGTCTCCTCATCTAACCACTCACTCTGTGGTTAGCTTCCTCCCTTTCTGTCCTACAATCACAAGGACAATCCATGCAGGGATTCTGGTAAATTACATTAGAAGTTTCTCCTACTTCTAAACAATCTTTGTAGTGCATGATTTGTCCTCATATGGTAGCTTCTGGGCAGAGGGTGATGCCCACTTGCAGATCTTGGAAGTTGCATTCTACTTTTCCAAAATGTTTTTATTAATGACAGGGTATATAGTTGGTCTTGTGCCTTCTTTCTTCCTTTCTCCCCTGCATGTTGTGCAAGCATCTTGTGATAAATGCTTGTGAATACCCATTCTGCCTTAATTGTTCATGTAGGAACCTGCTCTCCAGTTGTTTGCTTGCTGAATACTACAGTGGGTTCTCACCCTGTCATATAGTGTTTTGATGCAACTGTCGCCATATAACCTTCTCAAACAGGTGGCTTCAGTGAAAATGTTTGTAACTATATAGTAGCTATAAAATGCTCATTTTGTCTTCTAAAAAGGTAGTGTTTGAGAAGCCTTAAAATAAAACAAAGTTACAATATTAAAATTACAGAAAGTTTTTTTTAAAAAAAAGCTACAAAACTGGCAATGGTTTGGTAAAAGAAATTTTTTTTCTGAATATATCCCAACTCTTAATAACATTAGCTATTTCTTGAGTAGAAAAAAAGATGAGGTAGCAGCTGCTATATAATGAATTTGGTGACTGAAAGAAAAGTAAAAAAATATTCTTTATTAGTTGCCGTATATTTACAACCTATTTGAGATGGAATACTTGTGCTAAAATGTCATTTCTGATTGCTGAGTAGATTGTTCAAAACTTTTTCAAGACATTTGGGGACACCAAATGTTGCCTTGATATTAAGCATTTACCCTTTTATTATAATTGAGCAGATACAGATGCAGATTTTGTTCTGCATTTTCCCCCCAAACCAGATATTTCCATGCTAAGTATTACTTCCTATTTTTGTTTTGGCTTTGTTATTTCTATGGTTCAAAAAAAAATAAGTAGAAACTTTTAGGAAACAATTGGTTCTATCCACATTTTAAAATGTTTAGTTTTCCAGATGTGCCATTTTACAGACAAATAGCTGCCAGCTATTAGCTGTCCTTTAAAGCACCATTCCTTTTTCATATGGGAAACAGAAGCACCAGGACATTTATGGGGTGACAAGCAGATGTTTTGATTGACTTAGAATGGAATGAAAGTGGTGTTTTTCTTTCCTACCTAATTTACAAGCCTATATGTTACTTAAATCTATATTTATCTACATTATGCCATAGTACCCTTTTCTTAAAGAAGAAAGAATGATTATTTTCATAGCAACCTATGCACATTTTTGAATACAGCCTCAGAAAAAGCTCCATCTAATTAGTGACTGCATCCATGCAGTTTTCTTAGAAACATTTTGTTTGCTGTTGCTGTCTTCAGTGCATATTTGCCAGCATTTCATTTTAGCGAATAGTCATAGGAATTCCAGAATATTTCCCATTAAAACACTAAATAGGGCTGACCCTTACCTTCTCAGATCAGCCAGGTGCTATACTAGCTGACGCAAACAAGAGTTAGACAATGCAAATTGTTTTCTTGTGGTGTAGTTTTCAATTTATTTTCCATGTCTGAATACATGTTCAGATGCCTTTGGAACCTGGTGCTATCAATAAATATTAAGAACTTGTTAACTGGAAATTATGGGAGCTGTCAATCAAATATATGTGTAGGTTATCACATTGGATAAAGCTGGACTATAGTAACAGAAAGACAATAATGCTGTACTTTTTTTCCCAAATGCCCTTTGATAAAAAAAATAATAATCCCACCCTCAAATTCATTGTACAATATTATGCAAAGAGCTCACATGTATGTTAGACATGCCAGTTGATGTACAGAGAGTCCTCAGCTTACGATCACAATTTACTCCAAAATTTGTGTTTTAAGTGAGATAATTGTTAAGTGAGTTTTGCCCCATTTTATGACTTTTCTTGCCACTGTTGTTAAGTAAATCACTCCAGTTGTTAAGTTACTAACATGGCTGTTAAATGAATCTGGCTTTCCCATTGACTTTGCTTGCCAGAAGATAGCAAAAGGAGACCACATGACCCTGGGACACTGCAACCGTCATAAATATGAGTCAGGTCCCAAGTGTCAGAATTTTAATCACATGACCATGGGGGATGCTGCAATGGTCATAAGTATGAAAAACTGTCGAGTCACTTTTTCCATGCTGTATTAACTTTGAATGATCACTAAACAAACTGTTGTAAATTGAGGATTGCTTGTATTTTATTTCACAGTCCAGATTTTAATGAATAGAAAAAAAACACTGATGTGGTTTAAAGAGACAAGGAACATATAGGTGAAACATGAATTCGATTGCATATCAGTTAAATGTCTACTGAAGACAAAGAAGCTTTATCAAATAAGTAATTGCCAGGCCTACAGTAGGGATATGTAGAGCATATTTGGGTTTCACTTCTGGACTATTATTCTAAAATTGCCAACTTTTTTTATCAGTGGGATGTATCTGTGCTATTATCCACAGTTGAAACTCTTTTGTGGTGATAAAGAGGTGCTGGGAAATTTTAAATGATGAATTTCTTCCCAAATTCTGAATTGTGGCTGAAAGGAAAAAGAACCTTCCAACATAAAAATTGGCAATAGGGTAAAATGATTTGAAAACCTGAAGAGAAATAAAATATGAACCATGGGTGGAGTAAAAATGATTGCACAGCAGCTCCAGAGGATCCTGGATGAAAGAGATTATTTGCATCTCTTTCAGTCAAGTTACAGGTCTGGATTTGCAAATTCCAGCCTTAGAAGCTTGCAGTGAGAAAGTCAATAGGGAATCTGGCAGGAGTGGGTAAATCTCTCTTACTTGCACCCTCTCTGCCAGACTCTTTCTATGTATCATGCTGGCCATTTGTGAAGTCACTGCATCCTGCCCCAGGGAAAGAAGGAAGGAAGGAGGAAGGAAGGAAGGAAGGAAGGAAGGAAGGAAGGAAGGAAGGAAGGAAGGAAGGAAGGAAGGAGAGAGTGGGAGAGAAGGAACAGAAGGAGGAAGGAAGAGAGGAGGAGAGAGGAGGGAGGGAGAGGGGAAGGTAGGAAGGAACAGGGATCATTTCTAAGTTTCTTTATCTGTCCATTAATCACCTGTGGCCTTCCCCACTTTTAGCTGCTTTTTCTGTAAGCAGCATATCTTCCCCTCATCCTTTAAGGTTATTCCCATATACCAATACACTATATGAGCTCAGCAGCAATTTGAATCTGATAATTACGTATCTGAATGCTTTATAACATTGGTTCTGATTTTGAACCATTTCATTCTGGATAAGTTTATAAATATTTAATTTTATTGTCAACAATATACTGAAAAGTAGCTTGTTTCTCTAGTAGTTTGAACTAATGTTGGAGAA